CAAAGACATTCATGAATCTTGTATTTTGTTGCAATCAAAAAAATCTGTTATTTTTAACCCTATGTTATAAAATGTTAACTAAAATTTAATTAAAAGTTAATGTTACTTTTATATAGTTATTTTATATATTTTACTGTCAATCTTCCAATGCATCTCATTCTTGATATTTGGTCTAAAAAATATCCAAACTCATGACAAATACAACACATTTGTCAAAAGACGAAAAATGTGTAGGAAAAAAAAACAACTGTTGTACTTCTGGCCCCAAACAGCTCTTATGTTTTTAATTTTGGCCCTTGACACCCCTGTTGTAGGGCCATTCATCCTCTACATTTGACCCAGATCCTGAGGCCACTAAGGCTTCGGTCAGTAGCAGTGGTCGCCGTAGTAACAGCGCAGACAGCATGGTTTTGGTAGTATAGGAGAAACCGGAGCAACGACAGATAACCTACGCAGACACAGAGACAACATGCAAACTCCACTCAGAAAGACCCTGTTCCGACTGGGATTCGAACCCAGGACCTTCAGGAGAAAGTCAAATTCAACCTGACTCATTCCCAAAGGTCTGAAAATGAGTCCTGGTCCCAGTCCAGGCCCAGTCCTAATGTCTATGATTCGAGTTGTGATTCTACTTAAATGGACCTTGGTTATTTACTTTGTGACAGAGTGGGATTTTCAGTTCAGCAGAGCTTTACGTAAACGGCCGCATATAAACATTTATATTGGACTTGAACTGAGACTTGAGGCAGATGTCAAAAGAAAACATCGACCCAGCTTTGCATCTGTTCAGTAAATGTGAAACTTCTTCTACATGCTCTTTAAAATCAGCTTCTTATACCATTAGGGTTTAGATTACACAAGTTGACAGCCAAAAAAAGGTTCAGGGGTTTCTCAACTGATTCAGACTAATGTTGGTGTTCTGAGTCCGAATATCACATGCCGTTGTCTCTATCAGGTCAACTTTTTGAGATTCAGCCATAGTGTTACGGATTATGTACGTCTACGTTATTATGAATTCTGCTTATCAAATTTGAGTAAATAAAAACTGAATGACTTTGGATACGTTGACTTTTATTTCTTGAGGAAAACGGAAAAAAATAGTCAAGGGTTTCTCAGCTGATGATTACGCAAAATTGATTTACAAAAATATTTCTGTAGCAAAAAATCCTGATCTGATTGAGCAAAACCAAGGTCATTTTCGGACTCAGAGCATCAACATTAGTCTGATTCAGCTGAAAACCCTGGACTATTTTCAAAACATATTTTTTTGTTACCCAGTGTTATATCTCTGGCATTTTCTGTTTCCAACTTTGCGATTCTTACTGTAGTTTGAAAACCCAAAGGGGAAAAAAAGATTGTCGAGACTCTTTGTTGTGATTCATTAAAGACCTGGTTATTTCTTTACACTGTTTATTTGTTATACTTTACTTTGTGAGCAGCTTAAAAAAACATAAATCACAACTAATTCATTATGATAGTATTTAACTGACAGTGTAAGCTACTGAAGAAAATTTTATAGCACATTTCATACTTTAAAAGGTAAATGTGCACTTTATTAATCCCTGTAGGGCAATTCAATCCTCTGCATTTGACCCATCCTGATGCCCAAGTCTCACGTCAGGAGCAGTGGTCGCCGTAGTAACAGCGCCCGGGAACCCATCTCCATTTACATGTTTTTAGTGGTAGGCGAAACCAGAGTACCCGAAGGAAACCTATGCAAGCACGGGGAGAACATGCAAACTCCACTCAGAAAGACCTGCCGACCCGGATTCGAACCCAGGACCTTCTTGCTGAGAGGCGAGAGTGCTATCCACGCAGCCCACGGTGATCTCACACAGGATATATGTACAGTACATGTTACATTTGGCACAGAGAATCACTCAGGTTTGTGCAAAAGACAGACGTGTGAAAACATGTTAAAGGCAAAAAATATATATAGTCTGTTCAGGATATAATTATGTGCAATTAAAGAAACAGTGGTAATAATAAAGCAGGTTTTCAGTCCAAGTCCAAGTAAAGTGTACTTGAAAAAACCCTGGCTATAGATCACACAATAACTTCACCTGATGTCGCAGTGAACTCAATTGATTGCAATAAAGTTTGACTGTGATTTCAACTTATATCAGATAGGCCCTGTGCCGACTGGGATTCGAACTCAGAACCTTTTTGCTGAGACTTAGCCACTGCTCTGAACATACCTGCCATTTTGAAAACTCAAAATATCAAAAGTGCAGCTTACTTGAACAGAGACAGCTCAGTTCAAAGAAGGCCCTGAGTGATATGGCAAAGCTTTAAATAATCTAACAATAACATTTACATACTGGGAAAAAGCTGTTTAAAATAACTTTGATATCTGAAGTGAGATTGAATTCAGGTTTTACAGTGTGAATGCTCTGAACTACATTAGCATTTAGCGACTGTAATTCTTTGTTAATTATCCATCCATCCATCCATTTCTTCCCCTTTAATCCATTGCTGGGTCGGGGGGAGCTTGCCCAAGGACTCAACGACAGCTAACATCAGTGGGAGTGGTGAAGTGGGTCTTGTGGTGGACTGGAACCCACAACCTTCAGACCCAAAGGCCAAAGCAACTGAGCCACTGTTTGCATAATACTGTACAATCAGACTGTAAATATAGAGGTGGCCTTTTCTCATCCCCCTCTTTGCTTCTCTGCCTCAGGCTCATGAAGGAATCGTCACGGTGACATTTCCACGCCAGGAATACATCACATGACTTGGAATTCTCACATTTCTCTTTTTATAATCAGCAACTTCACCAAAGGGCCTGAAATTATTACACAAACATGACTACATCCAGTTTCACCCTTTGAGAAGATGAGCTAATTTGGGTGTTTTTACTCCTTGGTTGGTTTTGGACTCACTGATAATATTTATTTTGTTGCATTTGAGGATTTTGAAACTTAATTTGAATCAAAATGTGCTATATTCTTGCATGACAAATGTCTAAACACTGTTGAAGAAGAAGATGGTCCTATATTTGTCCCGCAGTGGGGAAATTTCAGTTTGATGACTACACATACACATATACATAAATATACATAGTAAGACATGCAGCAAACATTACTTCTGCCCTCCTTATAAACAAAGTGGGTTAAGTGTCTTGCCCAGTGGGGGCGGGTTTTGGCTCAAAAGTGGCCAAAATGACGTGCGCTGAAATGCTGCAATACCATCCCGGGCTGGGATGTAAAAACACTTTCTTCCAGCCTAAAAAGGAACATAAATTATGAAAAATAACTCTCAATATTATTGCGTTTACAGAGCCAATTATTTGTACATCTTTGTTGTAATCTCCTACATATCTTTTGTAGGTAAAAAGTGATTATTCTTGATATTATTGAGTGATGTCTTGATAGTAATTATGTTATTGTTTCCTTCTGATACTTTGCAATCGTGTTTCATCCATACTGAATCTTTCCAAAACCATAATAATAACAAACCTTTCCTAACAGTGTCCTTTCAGAGTCCAAAAGAGAACAGACTGAACCTTGAGCTGCATTATCTGGCCTTATTACCCCACACCATCAGTGACCTTTAACCAAAGCCCAGTCAGTGTCACCTGCAGTAGCCACGTGTGCCCCGGACGTCCCACTGAGTCAACTTCACCTGATCACTGGTATTTATCACTGGTATTTATCACTGGTTTTCATCACTGGTATTTATGTCTCTGTGAAAGGGAAGCGGGATTCAGAGCTACAGCAGCGGGGGAGGGGAGGCCTGTCTCCACTTTTTAAATAAAACTCAAATCTGGGTCGAGGCAAAGATTGTCCTCCTCAAACTCGACGATCAAAGCTGACTGAAGCGTTACTTTGTGGCTGAAAAGGGGAAAGAGCAAATTTGTCAAATAAACACCCACAGAGTTCATTTTAACACCAGGACAGTGTCTGATGCGTCCACATTCTTTAGTGTTAATTTTTTTTTTTTTTTAAGTTGTTTGATAGTTGACACCAAATTTTAGGTGAATCAACACGTTTTCAACAATACTACACCAATACTATTCAACACTTTATGGTGTTGCATTCACACTATACTCTGGTGTTAGCCTGGTCGTACCACACCACAGTACAAATTACATTTCGTACTAAGGTCTGGATTTGCTCCATTGACTCCGTTAACAGGTGGGAGGGGTTAACTCCTTTTGCAGTAGTAGTAAGTAATCTTTATTTATATACCGCCTTTTCACTGCAGATCTGAGTCTCAAAGCGGTTTACAATTGTTAATTTTGGGCATTTGTCTCTCACTCCACACAGAGATGGGAGCGGGGCCAGTACAGGAGGCGCATGCCAGACATGCCTATTGGACATGTTTTTAGTGGTAGGGGAAACCGGAGTACCTGGAGGAAACCTACGCAGACACGGGGAGAACATGCAAACTCCACTCAGAAAGGCCCTGGTCCGACCGGGATTCGAACCCAGGACCTTCTTCAGAATCAGAATCAGAATCAGAATCATTTTTATTGCCAACGTAAGTAACGGGAGGTCACAGACTTGGAAATTGCTTTGGCTCAGTGCAACAGTCAAAAAGAGATAATAAAAATAAGAATAAAAAACACTTCTAAAGAATAAATTTAAATTTAAAATAGAGTTACAGTTACTATTTACAATGTACAAGTGCACATGGTGCACACAATGTAAGGTGACAGCAGTACAGTGAAGTAAAGTGACGTATGATGGGCAGTAAAGTGACTTTATAAAGGGCGGGGGGACAGGTTAAGAAGTGTTCAAGAGTCCAACAGCAGAGGGGAAGAAACTGTTCTTGCTGAGAGGCGAGAGTGCTATCCACTCAGCCACCGTTTTGCAGATTGAAACGATTGGATCTGAATTTACTGTGACGTTTGTAATGCGCCCGAGTGAATCGTTAGCATTTAGCCTAGCTTTAGCCATCTCCTTTGCCGCTAACAGAGCCCGTGGGGAGTAGCGCCACAATCTTTGCCAGCAATGAAACTTGCTAAACATTCCTCTTGCTCCGGCTTCAATTTCTTGATGGAACCAGACCAGAATACTTTACTATCACATTCTTTGCCAAACTACTACCTGCCCGTTCCGCGCAAACCCTTTACGTCACCCACATCTAACTACAACACCCTTTACGCCTGCCTTTACGCCCAACTTAACGCCTGCCTTTACGCCCAACTTAACGCCTGCCTTTACGCCCAACTTAACGCCTGCCTTTACGCCCAACTTAACGCCTGCATTTACGCCCAACTTAACGCCTGCCTTTACGCCCAACTTAACGCCTGCCTTTACGCCCAACTTAACGCCTGCCTTTACGCCCAACTTAACGCCTGCATTTACGCCCAACTTAACGCCTGCCTTTACGCCCAACTTAACACCTGCCTTTACGCCCAACTTAACGCCTGCCTTTACGCCCAACTTAACGCCTGCCTTTACGCCCAACTTAACGCCTGCCTTTACGCCCAACTTAACGCCTGCCTTTTCGCCCAACTTAACGCCTGCCTTTACGCCCAACTTAACGCCTGTCTTTACGCCCAACTTAACGCCTGCATTTACGCCCAACTTAACGCTTGCCTTTACGCCCAACTTAACGCCTGCCTTTACGCCCAACTTAACACCTGCCTTTACGCCCAACTTAACGCCTGCCTTTACGCCCAACTTAACGCCTTCCTTTACGCCCAACTTAACGCCTGCCTTTACGCCCAACTTAACGCCTGCCTTTACGCCCAACTTAACGCCTGCATTTACGCCCAACTTAACGCCTGCCTTTACGCCCAACTTAACGCCTGCCTTTACGCCCAACTTAACGCCTGCCTTTACGCCCAACTTAACGCCTGCCTTTACGCCCAACTTAACGCCTGCCTTTACGCCCAACTTAACGCCTGCCTTTACGCCCAACTTAACGCCTGCCTTTACGCCCAACTTAACGCCTGCATTTACGCCCAACTTAACGCCTGCCTTTACGCCCAACTTAACGCCTGCCTTTACGCCCAACTTAACGCCTGCCTTTACGCCCAACTTAACGCCTGCATTTACGCCCAACTTAACGCCTGCCTTTACGCCCAACTTAACACCTGCCTTTACGCCCAACTTAAAGCCTGCCTTTACGCCCAACTTAACGCCTGCCTTTACGCCCAACTTAACGCCTGCCTTTACGCCCAACTTAACGCCTGCCTTTACGCCCAACTTAACGCCTGCATTTACGCCCAACTTAACGCCTGCCTTTACGCCCAACTTAACGCCTGCCTTTACGCCCAACTTAACGCCTGCCTTTACGCCCAACTTAACACCTGCCTTTACGCCCAACTTAACGCCTGCCTTTACGCCCAACTTAACGCCTGCATTTACGCCCAACTTAACGCCTGCCTTTACGCCCAACTTAACGCCTGCCTTTACGCCCAACTTAACGCCTGCCTTTACGCCCAACTTAACGCCTGCCTTTACGCCCAACTTAACGCCTGCCTTTACGCCCAACTTAACGCCTGCCTTTACGCCCAACTTAACGCCTGCCTTTACGCCCAACTTAACGCCTGCCTTTACGCCCAACTTAACGCCTGCCTTTACGCCCAACTTAACGCCTGCCTTTACGCCCAACTTAACGCCTGCCTTTACGCCCAACTTAACGCCTGCCTTTACGCCCAACTTAACACCTGCCTTTACGCCCAACTTAACGCCTGCCTTTACGCCCAACTTAACGCCTGCCTTTACGCCCAACTTAACCCCTGCCTTTACGCCCAACTTAACGCCTGCCTTTACGCCCAACTTAACGCCTGCATTTACGCCCAACTTAACGCCTGCCTTTACGCCCAACTTAACGCCTGCCTTTACGCCCAACTTAACGCCTGCCTTTACGCCCAACTTAACGCCTGCATTTACGCCCAACTTAACGCCTGCCTTTACGCCCAACTTAATGCCTGCCTTTACGCCCAACTTAACGCCTGCATTTACGCCCAACTTAACGCCTGCATTTACGCCCAACTTAACGCCTGCCTTTACGCCCAACTTAATGCCTGCCTTTACGCCCAACTTAATGCCTGCCTTTACGCCCAACTTAACGCCTGCCTTTACGCCCAACTTAACGCCTGCCTTTACGCCCAACTTTAGCCTTTTGCCCTGATCTGTTTTGGTTTCAGAGACAGTTAATCTTATGCTCTCTAAAGATGTTTCCTAATTTCAGATTATAAAGTGTGAAGAATCTCCGGTTACTTCTGTACCGTGGAACATTCAAGACAAAACGATTATTATTAAAATACGTTTTAATGTTTTTTTGTTAAAGACACAGAGACAAACAGGTGGTGGAGCAGAAAACATGATCATTAAAATGTGTTGACACTTTTGATGGAATGCACCAGTAAAAGACAGCAGTATTGATGGTGTCTTTGTACCATCTGTACCATGTGATCCCTCTCTTTAGTACAATGAAGTGGAGATGGAAGCTGCGTTTCATATAATCCCCAAATCCATCCAACTCTCACATCCCATCATGCAAATGTGCTGCAGTCTGAAGCCGGTCTCCAACCATATGCCTGAGCCGAGTGAAAGATACAACTGTTTATTATGCATGCGTTTCACCAGGTTTATGGTAATAAGGTTTTAAATTAGTGCTGGACATTATTGCATTTCATTGGACTCACACAAAAAGGTAAAATACATGAGAATTAAACATGATTTGCTTTGTTCTGATCTAATCAATCTCAAAACATAATATTTTTTCATACAATAGTTTCAAAGGCAGTGTTGTCTCGAAGGTCTTATAATAATTCAGTTTCATTTATTAGCCATTTGCAGTAAAACCACATTGGAATACATTAGCAAAAGTCCTCAGTGTGAACAAGACAAGTACATACATAAAACAACATTAAAAGTATAGAAATAAAACTAATAAAACAGTAAACAATTGTCACTAAAACAGTTTCAATACAAGTGCAAGATCAATTAAAGTGCTCAGCTTGTGTTAGCATGTTAGCATATTAAGATGTCCTGCATCTCAGCGAACGATATCGTCTGCCAGAGGGAAGAAGCTGGAACAAGGCTTTTCCAGGGTGGTCAGAAGAGTCATTGATTATTCTTAGAGCTTGGTCTAAAAGTCTGGATTTATAAAGAACCTCCAGAACAGGAAGCTCACAGCTCACGGTCCTTTTTGCAGAGCGGAGAACCTTCTTTAGAGCTCTCCTAAGCTCTAATAATAATTCATACTGTATTATTCTATATTTAGAGACATGTATAGTTCCATATTTACCCTCAGCATTCATTACGATATAAAAGACCCATGAACAAGCCACATGTTGCACAGATGTTTGATGGAGTTGAATTTTAATACTAATACTGAGGATTATATATAACCCATACATTATTCATTCACCGCACATTCAGACGTGCTGCACCTGTAGCCACAGCTGCCCTGGGGACTCACTTCAGTGATGCTTCTTGTACGTCGTGGATAAAAACAAAATGCTTTTATTTTACAGACTTTTGTGGTTTGACATTTTAGATTTCCTTTGTGTGTGAAATGAGTGATTATTGAAAGCAGTGGTATTCATGATTCTGAAACGGTCGGACATGATTTCATTTCCTCGATGGATTTATTAATTCATTGATTTTCAGTTAAAGAAACAAAGAGATACGATATTCCTTTTTTTCCCACAGTGAACACAAAAAAGAAGTAAATAAAATCAGAATATTTGGTACTAAGGTCTGGATTTGCTCCATTGACTCCGTTAACAGGTGGGAGGGGTTAACTCCTTTTGCAGATTGAAACGATTGGATCTGAGTTTACCGTGACGAATGTTAAGGACCTGAGTGAGTCGTTAGCATTTAGCATTTAGCCTAGCTTTAGCCATCTCCTTTGCCGCTAACGGAGCCCGTGAAGCGCCACAATCTTTGCAGTGATTACATTTGCTAAACATTCCTCTTGCTCCGGCTTCAATTTCTTGATAGAACCAGAGCGGAACACTTTACATTCTCATTCTTCGCCAAACTACGACCTTCCCGTTTGGCGCAAACTCTTGACGTCACCCACAACTAAGTACAACACCCGCCTCCCGCGCTCTCTGATTGGTCGGATGGAACGACTCTTAGTTTCAGCATTGCACTCTTCTTTCCTGCTTTTAGTTTTTTAGTTTTGTGTGCGTGTCTAAATGTGTATGTGTGCCTGTCTGAATGTGTGTGTGTCTGTCTGAATGTGTGTGTGTGTCTGTCTGAATGTGTATGTGTGCCTGTCTGAATGTGTGTGTGTCTGTCTGAATGTGTGTGTGTCTGTCTGAATGTGTGTGTGTGTCTGTCTGAATGTGTATGTGTGTCTGTCTGAATGTGTATGTGTGTCTGTCTGAATGTGTGTGTGTCTGTCTGAATGTGTATGTGTGCCTGTCTGAATGCGTGTGTGTGTCTGTCTGAATGTGTATGTGTGTCTGTCTGAATGTGTATGTGTGTCTGTCTGAATGTGTATGTGTGTGTGTGTGTATGTCTGTCTGAATGTGTATGTGTGTGTGTCTGTCTGAATGTGTAAGTTTGTGTGTGTGTGTGTGTGTCTGTCTGTGTGTGTGTGTGTGTGTGTCTGTCTGAATGTGTGTGTCTGTCTGAATGTGTGTGTGTGTCTGTCTGAATGTGTATGTGTGTGTCTGTCTGAATGTGTGTGTGTGTGTGTGTATGTGTGTGTGTCTGTCTGAATGTGTGTGTATGTGTGTGTGTCTGTCTGAATTGTGAAGCGTCTTTGAGTTTTCGAAAAGCGCTTTATAAAACCAATGTATTATTATTATCATCATTATTATTATTATTATTATTATTTCAGCAGCGATAGATCGTTAAACAAACCAGCTGAACATGAAAGATCAAAACAACAGGACTCTCCAATAATCAAAAAGATGCTGACAGTGGAACGCTTTTTCCAGAGCCGTGTTGTCGCTGTTACTGCGACCTCAAAAAGACGCTGAGCTACCACTTCCCCGTCCCACTCTCTTCTTCTCTCGTTTAGGTCTTTCAGATCTAAATGTAAAAATGGAACAGAGTGAAATCCACCTCAGTTTGAAAACGCTTCGAGAACACTTTCATTTGATATCACAGTAACAAACCCTTTATTTTACGCCTTTAACACACACAGACTTACATTCAGCTTCAACGTTTATGTCCATTGAAACCACCAACTTTGTATTTTTTTTATTATTATTTTTTTATTTTATTTAGGCATACAGGAAAATACATAGTTACAGTACAATAAACAACAAAGGTACTACTGGGGTTAGGGTAGGGTAAGTATGTGTATGTGTGTGTGTGTGTGTGTGTGTGTGTGTGTGCATGTGTAAGTGTTTGAGCTTGTGGGAGATATAAAGCTGAGAAATATATACAAACATGTACACCTACATATACTCTTTCACATATATAGACCAGGATGCAATGACTATGACAATCAAACGGCAACTAACAATAAAGAAACAACGTACAAAAAGAATAGATAAGTAGATATTTCAAAACAATGACAATAACCTTTGTATTTTTACAGCTACAATATGCCAAAAAACTCCCACGTCGCTCTCACGGCCTGCAGCGTACCCTCATAAACAACTGGCCCCGGGGCCCGTCCTCTCCTCTCGCTGTAGGCCGCTGTAATGCAAGGTGCTTACGGCAGATAGCACCGGAGACGCTATAGCACTGCTCAATCAGACGTTAGTTGTACACTGCCGCTGCTGCTGTGGCTCTTGTGGTGATGTCGTTATTGTAAATTTGTAATGCACCACATTGAAGCCATAAATCTTGTAGGGGATTACTGGGTAGGAGTCGTCGGTACGGTCCGGACTCATCAATCACACGCCGCACTGTTTGTGTTACAACTGCCATTTGGGATGATGGATGGAAACGCTGGTTTGTTTGTGTGCCATACAGTAACTTTGGGAGGAGAACAAGCTGTTTTGTTTTTAAGACGGTTTATGAGTAAAAACAGACGCTCAATGCTTTCGACCTGTAGCTATTGTTGAACTAATATGTACGTAATTATCCGTTTTAAAGCAGAGCTGAAGAAAATATGGCTGTTGTCTGTGTTTAGTTTATTCATTACAGATGACAGGGACAGTGTACAATAAACATTAAACTCAAAGGGATCGATGCATTGAACCAAGTTATAGCTCAAAAGTTAATTTCCACCCTTAGTCCCTGGGCTGATGTTATGATATTCAAAGACACACTCTCTCTCACTCATTTTTGCCCCTCTCCTCTCGTCCCGGTTAACTTACACCATACCACCAATTCCCATCAAAACTCATGGATAATTAATCAATGCACACACAAATAATAAATAAACTAAACTATCCATCCATCCATCTTCTACTCTTTAATCCATTTCTGGATCAGGGGGGTGGCAGTCAGAGATGCCACCCAAGTCTCATAGCACCAGCCCCTCACTGACCCTCTGCAGGTGGTGAGTCCACAGGAGGACGGCTGCTCTCTGAGTCTGAGCATAGCCTTGATCTTTCAGTGGGGGCTTTGGGCAAAGTGGGGTTAAGTGTCTTGCCCAAGGACACAACGACAGCAGTCATCAGTGGGAGTCGGTGGAGAAGGTGTCGAGGTGGGAATTGAACCCACAACCTTCAGGCCTGAAGGCCAATGCTCTACCAACTGAGCTACTGTCGCCCACTAAACTAAAGTAAACTAAAAACAGTAAATAATAAAGAACACACACACACTGAAGCCCCCCTCTCCCCATGTATGTATAAATGTAAATGTGCACTTTATTAATGTCCTCTGCATTTGACCCACCCTGATGCGGCTAAGTCTCACGTCAGGAGCAGTGGTCGCCGTAGTAACAGCGCCCAGGAACCCATCTCCAGATTTTGATGCTCGGCTCGGTCAGGACCAGAGCTGGAGGATTTAACCTAGTGAGGATGTTTTTAGTGGTAGGGGAAACCGGAGCACCCGGAGGAAACCTACACAGACACAGGGAGAACATGCAAACTCCACTCAGAAAGACCCAGTTCCGACAAAACTGAGATTTTCAAAAGTAGCAGAGTGAAGATCTGAACGGGCTTCAGATCATCTTGGTCCCTGTGAAAGTCTCTGCAGTAGTGTCCATGTTATTCAACTCTAGGCAGAATAATGACACAGGCCATGGCAGCAGACTGGAAAAATGCTTTGTTTTTTCAACCACAGATGGATAGATACTTTTTGATCCCTGTAGGAAGAATTCAAGCGTCCATTCATAAAAAATAATAATATATAATCAAGAAAATAGCAACTAAACCAGAATGTGAGCGTTGTTGTTGTCGTACATGTTGCAGAAAACATAAAAATAGTTTGTGATTCAAAGATTGACCACTTTTGTATGTCTGTGTACCACTTTTTGTGTGTCTTTGTATCACCTAATAAAAAAAAAAAAGAATTGGTCTAGAAAAATATAACCAGACCAACAATGAAAACAAAAGTCCAAACGCTGGACTCACTGGAGGTCTTGCCTTTCTGCTGTAGCCGCTGTTCTGTTCTGTTTCCCGTATATTTATTTATTTATTTTTCAAAATGCAATATACTGTGTGTAGTTGATATTTTCTTTTAACTGACCGTATTGTATTGTGTCCTTAATGCAGATTATTAATTTAAAAAAATATATGAATGAGTAAATAAATGTATAAGTAAAGTCTTTTTGTCCAAAGTGATCCAGAATTGGTCTAGAAAAATGTAACCAGACCAACAATGAGTGAGTAATTAGTGCCTTTTGGCCCAAGTGAATTAGAATTGGTTCTAAAAAATGTAGCTACCAACAATTAGTATGTAAGTAAAGTCTTTTTGTCCAAAGTGATCCAGATTTGGTCTAGAAAAATGTTTCTAGACCAAGAAGGAGAAAGTAAGTGAGTAAAGCCTTTTTGTCCAAAGTGATCCAGATTTGGTCTAGAAAAATGTAACCAGACCAACAATGAGTAAGTGAGAAACTAACGCCTTCTTTCCCGAAGTAATCCAGATTTGGTCTAGAAAAATATAACTAGACTAACAATAAGTAAGTAAGTAAGTGATTAGTGCCTTTTGCCTAAAGTGCTCCAGATTTGGTCTTGAAAATGTAACTAGACCAAAAATGTGTAAGTATGTAAGTAAAGCCTTTTCATCCAAAGTGATCCAGATTTGGTCTAGAAAAATGTTTCTAGACCAAGAAGGAGAAAGTAAGTGAGTAAAGCCTTTTTGTCCAAAGTGCTCCAGATTTGGTCTAGAAAAATGTAAACAGACCAACAGTGAGTATTTAGGAAGTGACTTTTGGCCCAAGTGAATTAGAATTGGTTCTAAAAAATATAACTACCAACAATTAGTATGTAAGTAAAGTCTTTTTGTCCAAAGTGCTCCGGATTTGGTCTAGAAAAATGTTTCTAGACCAAGAAGGAGAAAGTAAGTGAGTAAAGCCTTTTCATCCAAAGTGATCCAGATTTGATCTAGAAAAATGTAAACAGACCAATTGAGTATTTAGGTAGTGCCTTTTGGCCTCAGTGAATTAGAATTGGTTCTAAAAAATATAACTAGACCAACAATGAGTGAGTAATAAAGTAAAGCCTTTTTGTCCAAAGTGCTCCAGATTTGGTCTAGAAAAATGTAACCGGCCCAACCATTGTGTGGGAGTCTTTTGTGTGGGTTAATTTTTGTTTACTGTTTTACTTTTTTGAGCTACAGTATGTGTCGGATCGTCTACTACACCGTGGACGTTTGCGTTACCTCTCAGTGGCGTCGTGGTAGAAGGAGGGACTTTCAAGTGTGGAAGCTGCAGGGATGCGAACACATGACACCACCACACTCATCTGCAACAGCGGTGAGAACAGACGAGTGCGGCGGGCTGACCTCAGAGGACGGAAACGAAAGATACAGAGAGAACACACAGTCATAGACAGAGCTGCTTGAGAACGTGGTCGGAGGTTAAATGACTGTGCATGCAACAATATCATAACGACTTTATTATAAGGTGGATTCTTTTTGTTTTTTTCCATGTGGCGACGAAAACATGAATTGTGCTGTGGTGTCTGAGCTAGAACACAGTTTAAAATGTACATGATTTGTGAGAAATGGAAATATATGTATGTTAAGAATTTTTATTTTTGAAATGTAGTTTTTAAGCTTAATCATTTTATGAATAATATATTTTGTGTAGATTCTCTCTGTGCCTTTATTTTGTTCTGTTCTTCATTCTTTTGTTGCCCGTGTGTTGGTACAGAGCTTTCTGTATGGCACAAAATCTTATATTTATCTGTGGCTTAAATTAGTGTTTTGTAAGATTTTCATGTCAAGTCATCATTAAAGGCCCCCAATCTGTCATCATTAAGGGCCCTAATCTGTCATCATTAAAGGCCCCCAATCTGTCATCATTAAGGGCCCTAATCTGTCATCATTAAAGGCCCCCAATCTGTCATCATTAAGGGCCCTAATCTGTCATCATTAAAGGGCCCTAATCTGTCATCATTAAAGGGCCCTAATCTGTCATCATTAAAGGCCCCTAATCTGTCATCATTAAAGGGCCCTAATCTGTCATCATTAAAGGGCCCTAATCTGTCATCATTAAAGAGCCCTAATCTGTCATCTTTAAAGGGCCCTAATCTGTCCAAAGGCATTAATAAAACATGTTATTTTCCAATACTTCTTTAACTGATAACAGTAGTTCAGAGATATTTGAATTTCTAAATTACTTTTCCAGTCCCTAAATCTTGTTATTGTTTTCATTTTGATGTCCCGCCCTCCACCGTTTCACCAATGAAAAAGTCCGTGATCCCGACGCCAGAACTCACCGCGTGGAGCTAATCTCACTGCTAAAGTACCATGTGGCGCAGAACTAAAAAAGGTCTCGTTATGATTCTCAAATCATTAACGACAAAACAAGGAATAAAACCAGGATTTCTATCTTTGTGAAAAAGGTGTTGGTTATAGATTTGTTGTTGACTAAACTCTTGTTTATTCAGCTGTTATGGTCCCAGCTGGATTCGTCTGCATATCTGGCAACCTGAGTCAGGGAGAGTGGGAGAGGCTGCAGTACCACTTTTGGCCACACTTTTACAAACTGCTCCTTTTAAATTAAGTATTCAAACCAAATATAAACAAATACCTGAAAAACAACAGTGATGCTCTGTATTTACAGCAGAAAAAATACATGATTGTGGAATTATGGAATCAGTATTGTGAGATTTCATAACACTTTTAAGCAACTTTTGTTAAAGTTAAACTCATCATTCTATCAATGTGCAGAAGCCTGTACTTTTCCCTTGTTTTGTCTATCTGAAGGCCAAGCTACATGGCACTGTGGCAGCTGCTGATTGGAGGTCTCCATGCCTCCGCTCTGTATAATACACTTGCATTCTGTGTTCGTGTTGTTCGTGTTGTCTCTACCATCGACAATAAAACATGTCTTCTGTCTGAATGAAAGACACAATCCCAGACTTTGTCATCTTCTTCAGTAGCACCAAAAGTCTGAGTAAACGGTGTCTTATCTGTAAGTCGAGGCCATTAGTGGAGTTTGAATGGCTCCGGGCTGTGTAATTAACTCAGCTGAAGCACGGCTAAACATTTTGGACGTGTTCCCTGTCCACGCACTCTCACAGCCAGAGGGAGGTGGGCCAGAGGGAGGTGGGCCAGAGGGAGGTGGGCCAGAGGGAGGTGGGCCAGAGGGAGGTGGGACAGAGGGAGGTGGGCCAGAGGGAGGTGGGCCAGAGGGAGGTGGGCCAGAGGGAGGTGGGCCAGAGGGAGGTGGGCCAGAGGGAGGTGGGCCAGAGGGAGGTGGGCCAGAGGGAGGTGGGCCAGAGGGAGGTGGGCCAGAGGGAGGTGGGACAGAGGGAGGTGGGCCAGAGGGAGGTGGGCCAGAGGGAGGTGGGCCAGAGGGAGGTGGGACAGAGGGAGGTGGGCCAGAGGGAGGTGGGCCAGAGGGAGGTGGGACAGAGGGAGGTGGGCCAGAGGGAGGTGGGCCAAAGGGAGGTGGGCCGTCGTGTCGCACAGAGATGTTCTCCAGATGATGTTTGAGGTGTTTTCAAATCAACACTTGTAATGGGACATCAGCGGCGGTTCTGAAGCCTGCTCGGATCAGAACATGACAAACCAGCAACATCAACATGGACCAGAAAGAAGCAATGGACACTGGAGCAACACAGAGAGTACAGACACTATAAAAACATCAGGAATCACAACAATGTTCATCAGACTTTTCTAAAAAGGTACATTAGACATCACTTAGAGAGCACCTGGAGGAAACCGGAGCACCTGGAGGAAACTGGAGCACCTGGAGGAAACCGGAGCACCTGGAGGAAACTGGAGCACCTGGAGGAAACCGGAGCACCTGGAGGAAACTGGAGTACCTGGAGGAAACCGGAGCACCTGGAGGAAACTGGAGCACCTGGAGGAAACCGGAGCACCTGGAGGAAACTGGAGCACCTGGAGGAAACCAAAGCACCTGGAGGAAACCGGAGTACCTGGAGGAAACCGGAGTACCTGGAGGAAACCGGAGCACCTGGAGGAAACCGGAGTACCTGGAGGAAACCGAAGCATCTGGAGGAAACCGGAGCACCTGGAGGAAACTGGAGTACCTGGATGAAACCGGAGCACCTGGAGGAAACCGGAGCACCTGGAGGAAACCGGAGTACCTGGATGAAACCGGAGCACCTGGAGGAAACCGGAGCACCTGGAGGAAACTGGAGTACCTGGATGAAACTGGAGCACCTGGAGGAAACCGGAGCACCTGGAGGAAACTGGAGTACCTGGAGGAAACTGGAGCACCTGGAGGAAACCGGAGCACCTGGAGGAAACTGGAGCACCTGGAGGAAACCGGAGCACCTGGAGGAAACTGGAGTACCTGGAGGAAACCGGAGCACCTGGAGGAAACTGGAGTACCTGGAGGAAACCGGAGCACCTGGAGGAAACTGGAGCACCTGGAGGAAACCAAAGCACCTGGAGGAAACCGGAGTACCTGGAGGAAACCGGAGTACCTGGAGGAAACCGGAGCACCTGGAGGAAACCGGAGTACCTGGAGGAAACCGAAGCATCTGGAGGAAACCGGAGCACCTGGAGGAAACTGGAGTACCTGGATGAAACCGGAGCACCTGGAGGAAACCGGAGCACCTGGAGGAAACCGGAGTACCTGGATGAAACCGGAGCACCTGGAGGAAACCGGAGCACCTGGAGGAAACTGGAGTACCTGGATGAAACTGGAGCACCTGGAGGAAACCGGAGCACCTGGAGGAAACTGGAGTACCTGGATGAAACAGTAGCACCTGGATGAAACCGTAGCACCTGGAGGAAACCGGAGCACCTGGAGGAAACCGGAGCACCTGGAGGAAACTGGAGTACCTAGAGGAAACCGGAGCACCTGGAGGAAACTGGAGTACCTGGAGGAAACCGGAGCACCTGGAGGAAACCGTAGCACCTGGAGGAAACCGGAGTACCTGGAGGAAACTGGAACACCTGGAGGAAACCGGAGTACCTGGAGGAAACCGGAGCACCTGGAGGAAACTGGAGCACCTGGAGGAAACCGGAGCACCTGGAGGAAACCGGAGCACCTGGAGGAAACCGGAGCACCTGGAGGAAACCGGAGTACCTGGAGGAAACTGGAGCACCTGGAGGAAACCAAAGCACCTGGAGGAAACCGGAGCACCTGGAGGAAACTGGAGTACCTGGATGAAACTGGAGCACCTGGAGGAAACCGGAGCACCTGGAGGAAACTGGAGTACCTGGATGAAACCGTAGCACCTGGATGAAACCATAGCACCTGGAGGAAACCGGAGCACCTGGAGGAAACCGGAGCACCTGGAGGAAACTGGAGTACCTAGAGGAAACCGGAGCACCTGGAGGAAACTGGAGTACCTGGAGGAAACCGGAGCACCTGGAGGAAACCGGAGCACCTGGAGGAAACCGGAGTACCTGGAGGAAACTGGAACACCTGGAGGAAACCGGAGTACCTGGAGGAAACCGGAGCACCTGGAGGAAACCGGAGCACCTGGAGGAAACCGGAGCACCTGGAGGAAACCGGAGCACCTGGAGAAAACCGGAGCACCTGGAGGAAACCGGAGTACCTGGAGGAAATCGGAGCACCTGGAGAAAACCAGAGCACCTGGAGGAAACCGGAGCACCTGGAGGAAACTGGAACACCTGGAGGAAACTGGAGTACCTGGAGGAAACCGGAGTACCTGGGGGAAACCGAAGCACCTGGAGGAAACTGGAGCACCTGGAGGAAACTGGAGTACCTGGAGGAAACCGGAGCACCTGGAGGAAACTGGAGTACCTGGAGGAAACCGGAGTACCTGGATGAAACCGGAGTACCTGGATGAAACCTATGCAGACAGGAGGAGAACATGAAAACTCCGCTCAGAAAGACCCCGTTCCGTCCGGGACTCGAACCCAGGACCTTCTTGCTGAGAAGCAAGACTGCTATTTATGAGGATTAAAACCCTGACTCAATTTTATAAACAGCATGTGGATGAAACTTCATTCTTTTCAAACAGTTTCGATTACATGTGTACAGTTAGCGTCATGATTAGATTAGAAAATACATTACATAAATCAAAGCCATGACCTATTCTCCGTTGCGCACACACATGTTGTATACACACATGTTGTATACACACATGTTGCGCACACACATGTTGTATACAATAGATGTGGAGAGAGGTCTGGAGCTCATCTGGGAGGGCACATGTCTCCAGTAAAACTCTTATAAAAGTCCATGTGTAGAGAAAAGCCTGTAAAACACCACTCTGTCATTCTGAGTTTTCTATTACCATGAAACACTGGACATAATGCGTACCTCATGTCCAGCCCCGCCCACTTACCACATCGCCTCAGGCTGCGAGCAAAAGAATGAGCCCGCTGATGTATGTGGAGAAGTCAGCTTTATCCCTCGATTCCTATTGGTGCGTTGAGAGTTTCCCATTGATTCTTCTGTTTATGATTCAAAAACAACCCAGAATTAGACATTTCAAAGGGTTAAAAAATCACGTCACGGGCACCAATGCACACCCACGTTCTTTGTCCTGTGTAGCATAAAAGGACAGCTCTGTTCTGTAGAAAGTAAGAAAACAAGCTTATTTATACTTTACAGAGCGGAGTCACAAAGTTCTTCACACAAATAATAATAACGAATGAACTCCAAAACTGTATGACCTTTTTTTGTATTCTCTTTTGCTATTTATTTTGATGCAGAATGGATTAACCAAACAGATGTCAAAGCACCACTTCCTGTTAAGATTCTTTTTATTTTTTTTACGTCATGCAGATCTGTGTAGCACTGAACCCTAAAGCAAACTTCACTGGGGACAATGAAGCTACTAATTCTATGTATTTGTAATTTGTTAAGATAAGATATACATCTATCTTATGTCTTATGATGTGATGTGAATAGGCCAAGACAACTGGGACATTGCAACAAAACAAAGATCTAGTCAAGTCTAAAGCTTCCTTCAACACCAAAATCAGATGAGTTTTGGTTTTTTCGTCATTAACTCATTGACGTATTTGTCTGAGACTGGTGATTTCTGTCAAACCTCTCTCTATTCGACGGAGGATTACAGGAGAACCAAACTAGCAAGAAACAAACTTATTTTTGCTGATGAAAGTAGACAATTCAGTCTTTCAGAATCTGGTTTCAAACTTTACATAGTCATAGCACACAATATTCTGTGGGCCTTGAAAATCAGTGAAATCATCAAAAACGGCTGGCAGTCAATGAGTTAACCAATAATCCATGAATAATTGTTGTTAAGATTTTTCTTTTGTTTTGCCGCTTTTTTTTGGCTTTTGTTTTTTCATGTTTGTATAAACTTTCATTCATTAAGTTGTTTTACATCAATATTGACTTTTATAACATGCCTCGATAACAGAAGGGGCACATTCATCTGAGCACGGCACCATCTTGGATCACCGAGGCTTTGGCAGCTCTCATCGCCGCACCCCGACCCAGAAGTGGACTAATAAAGGGGCAGAGAATGAATGACTCGATAACGATGATGATAGCCACAATGTAAAGTTAGTTAAATATGTATAATACTTTTTTGAATAAAATAATGAATACATTCAGAAAAACAGTTTTCACGATTTTAACAATAAGCCAGTTTCTTCAGTGTGATTCCCTCAGACTGCAGCAGAGACTGAGACAAACAAGAGATTCTCAGAGACATGTTTTAAGCTTCTCCACATGCTCAGAGATGGTATAGATTGACAAATATAAATAACATTTTTAAGCATAAAAAGGGTTGCATGAGTCTCAGTGTAACGTCTTTGATTCTATTCTACTAGAATTGAGACACAGTCCAGAAAACAATCAGGGGATTCAATCTAACTAAAAACTAAACACATGAATGAATGAGTGGGTAGTTTGTGCCTGTTCGCTCGCTCCCATCTCTGTGTGGAGTGAGGGACAAATGCGCTATATCAATAAACATTACTTAAGATAAGATAAGATAAGATAAGAATTCCTTTTTTCGTCCCACAGTGGGGAAATTCCGATGTTGCAGCGCACAGACAGGACAGTAGTAAGAGCACACAGGGAGCACACACAATATATACAAATAAGTAGTAGCTATGTTTCTTACATAACTAGCTGTAGATGCTGAAAATGCTTCAATACAAGTCAAAAAATATATATGTAGTAGTGCAGTTATATACTGTACAGTTAAATAGTGCAGGATAAAAAGTATATAAGTAAAGTGACATTGTTCTGTGACATTCTGAAGTTGCAGTCTTGCACATTGCACATGATTTAAAAATTTACAGGCTCAGCAGTTCTTATTTTACAGTCTGACAGCAGCAGGAAGGAAAGACCTACGGAACCTCTCCCTCACACAGCGAGGGTGAATTAGTCTGTCACTGAAGCTGCTCTCCAGAGCAGAGAGAGTGTCCTGCAGGGGGTGTCGGTCATGGTCCAGCATAGATGTTAGTTTGCTCAGGACCCTCCTGTCCCCCACCTGCTGCACTGTGTCCAAGGAACAGCCCAGGACTGAGCTGGACTTCCGGATGACCTTGTCCAGCTTCTTCCTGTCCCTCTCTGTGATACTGCTGTTCCAGCAGACCACACTGTACAAGAGGCTGATGCCACCAGAGTCATAGAAGGTCTTCAGGAGTGGCCCCTGCACTCTAAAAGACCTGAGCCTCCTCAGTAGGTAGAGGCGGCTCTGGCCCTTCTTGAAGAGGGCGTCTGTGTTATGAGTCCAGTCCAGTTTGTGGTTAAGATGAACACCCAGGTACTTGTAAGAGTCCACTCTCGATGTCCTTTCCCTGGATGTTCACTGGACGTCCAAATCCATTACAAATAGTAAGTTACTGACTTACTATTTGAGTTTTTGGTTAAAAGCTTCCAAGTGCCAGGTTGCAAATGGTAAAGGAAGCTATTTATTTTGTAAAATCAGAGTTCACAAGTTTTTTTTAACTTCTTCCCACTCCTATTTTGGACATCGATTGGTTATTTATTTTGCTTAATCAATGTATAATTACATTGCTTTTTTTTTTTTTTTTCTAATTTCAAATGTCCAAATAAAACATTCATTCATTCACTATTTGACAGTGAGGTGCAAGTGTTTTGGCAAAGTAGTAGTAGTAGTAGTAGTAATCTTTATTTATATACCGCCTTTTCACTGCACATCGGAGTCTCAAAGCAGTTTACGATTGTTATTTTTGGGAGCGGGGCCAGTACAGGAGGCACATGCCAGACCTATTGTACATATTTTTAGTGGTAGGGGAAACCGGAGCACCCGGAGGAAACCTACGCAGACACGGGAAGAACATGCAAACTCCACTCAGAAAGGCCCTGATCCGACCGGGATTCAAACCCAGGACCTTCTTGCTGAGAGGCGAGAGTGCTATCCACTCAGCCACTGTGCCGCCGGTAGCTGCTCCGGCCGTGATTTGTTGCTTCGTTTCTTCGTTTCTTCACACCAAAATGTTATAATTCAAATGTCTTTAGATCCACATTAATATTTCAAGCGTTCAAAATGTCAAATATGTAAAGTAAAGAATAGTATTTAGACTTACACACATATATTTTAGGTTCGTAGCAGAAGTCAGAGCAGATACTGACATTTTATGGATCTTTTTCTTTAGACTGAGACTTTGACAGACTTTATTGATCCTCGAGGGAGAGTGTAGTGTCACAGTAGCTTGCAGAGTATTTCACAATAAAAAAATAATTTGTTTCGTACTTTTTGACATCATTAGAGATCACATCTAAACGTAACTATTTTGTGTCTCTCAAAAAAGTTCTGTATTATCGTTAGTTTTAGGCTCTTTATTTTTAGAATGAGATTTAGGACGCAGGTTGTGGTCAGACTTGTCACTTGTACAAGATTCTTCCCATTAGTAATTTTGAGTAAATATCTATAACCACTATACTATATATACAAAACAATTCCAGTGACCGTGAAAGTCCAACATTTACAGTTCTTACATAACACAGCTTTGTCATGTTTATTTTAGTTTTTCTCACACACAGAAATGCTGGAATGTGGTTAAACAGAGAATGGTCCAAACACTGAAGTCTTTTCAACTTCGAGGGCGGAGCCTGTCAATCAGTCAGAGCCTGTCTGGCATGATGGATGAGAGAAGAGAAGAGAGATCCTTTAGTGGGGATCCATGCAGTATCAATCAACCACACCCACTGATACTGATATTAATTTTAACCGTTTGCTTTGCTTAATGTCAGATCAACTATGCAACAAATCATTTTAATTAATAACTTTATCTGTTCTTATGATCTTGATTTTATGTTAGACCGAAACATGCTTGACCAAACTACAGAGAAACACGGTTTTAATAGAAGCAACGCCACCAAATTTCAAATTTGAGTCTGAAATGCTGAAAACAAAGGGGGGAGGCATAGCTGCAGTTTTTTAGAAATCACATTGTCTCCCATAAAGTGCCCTTGGGACAATTTTCATCATTTGAATATGGTCTATTAAAATTGAACAAAAGCAATCTTCTTCTATTCTTTCCATTGTCCTATACAACCACCGCAGTCATGTCATAGTGTCTTTTATTGATCATTGTACTGAGTTACTTTCAGTTGTATGCTCAGATTTTGATGGTTAGTGTATACAGGTGATTTTAATATTCAAGTGGATAATGTTAATGAAAGACAGATACGCAAAAGAGCTGAGTTCCATACGTGAATCCTTTGGCCTCCACAGCTTGTGAGTGGCCCCACCCACAGCAGAGACACACCCTTGAAATGCTATCAAGAAAGGGGGTGAAGTATTTCAAAAGTTAATGTAGTTGAGTGTTTGCTCTGTCGGATAATTACAGTGTACTTTTTTACATGTGTTTTTGCACCAGACGCACCCGC